ATTTAGGCAGTAAAAGAACATTAAAAGACAAAAGATGTTCAACACTTTCTGTTTTTTTGCGATTTTATGCTTACTGTAATTCCTGAATAGCAAACGTTATAGTCATTTGACTGGCAACGTCTTTGTTACGAGGTGTGCATACCACCCAACCATCAGCACAATGTTTTTTTGCGGCTCGATTGAGGAGAGAATTGAGCCAAAAATGTCTTTTTTTTATGCTGAGAGTACCCCTCTGCATACAAAAGATTAACGAACATGCATCTGTTGGTGCAACAGGTGCAATTTTAATGAAATGCACGTGCTTTCACAAAGCCTTCCACGCAAAACCTACAACCTACTTGAATTCATAGCTTTGAATGAAATTTGAGCTAATTTGGAAAGACGAAGAAGAGACGATCCTGTGAAGGGAGAAGGAGAGGGCAATTTATAAAACATCCAAAAACTTATGTAAGGATTTTGATACGTCAATCGACTTGCTGTATTACTGATATAGCACCTGGAAGGCCTTATTTCAGTGTTTCTTGTTCTATGTATATAATATAGTATGTAAGACTTCAGTAATGACTTAATTTTTTAACAGGGGGTTGTCCCGAAATTTTATTATAAAAGAATAAACTTTCCTCTAGACATTTACAATCCATTTACAATCCTTTTTCATATATCCCCCTTAACAAGTTCTTTGTGAACGTTCCCTTATTCAATTTTTGGACTCTTTCCGCATTTTGCGTGTTACCAAGGATTTTTCTAACAAGAAGCCCGAGTGAGCGCATTCATTATAATTTTTGCGCATGACCAGTCATTCTATRTCGCCGGCTCAAATATGGCGGACAAAGGTTGAACGAAACCCGCGAATTTCAAGCTGTTCAAAGCAGATTTTCTTGAAGAATTCTGTYGGGTAAGCTCTAACCAAAAAGGCAGACAAAAGATGTAACTTCTTTTTGTCTGAAAGGCTTTCTCGAAAGAAATATAAAGCTGAATATTTTTCCATAAATTCATTTATGAATAGCGACAATGGTCAAAGGAATCAGTTACCGTGTATAAAGCTCAGTCAATCGTGACAAAACTATTGTCTTTTCACGAATGACTTAGCTTTATGCATGGTGCCTCGTTTTGTTTCCTTTGTGTGTGACTATGAGGGAAAACTCGCAGGTCAACTATTCGGAATTTAAACAATGGATGAAGAATTTTATAAGCTTATAGATAATCTTAAGGGCCATTCCATTTTATATCCACACCCCCCCTATATATGTTTTTTTCTGAAGGGTATTCAGGGTAGGCAATTTTCTTAGGGGTACATGGCAAAAGTATGATTTTCTGAAGGGTTATTTAGTAAAAAGTCAATTTTTCTTGGGGGTAAAAATTAAAATCACCATTTTCTGAAGGGTAGTTTAGTAAAATTGCATTTTTCTTAGGAGTACAAATTAAAATAACTATTTTCTGAAGGCTTTTTAGTACTTAAAAGCCATTTTTCTTAGGGGTTTTTAGAAAAATTGGCCTTTTTTCTGAAGGGTATTCGTATAATTTTTAGTAATTTTCTTAAGGGTTCAAACTAGCCAAAAAACCATATATAGGGGGGGTNTTGATAGTCCATTCTGCTGAATACATCCTCATAGACTATCAACTTATCATCCACTCAACTTTGTGGTGCAATTGTAAAATATTCATAATAATTAGTTATATTAATTTTAATATGTTCTTTGCCTTCAATTCCACATCGTGTTACACACAGAATAACTCATAATGAGGGGTATAATTCTGTGCTCGATATCAAGTATTCCCTTTGGGGTATCTATGTTTGATATCTGCACATCCCTAAACATAATTTCAATTTCCATCACTCAACAATCTAGATATGCTTCTTATGGTGAAGATGAAGTAGTGATCTATTTAAACCTACAGTACTTATGTACAATACTCTGCAATAGTCAATGATCTGAGACAACAGCAAATATCATGCTTGGGTAGATTGTTAAAAACCCATAAATTGCAAATTCTACAACTTTTATTAGGGATTTAATACTATAGCAGCATGCAGGCCTTTTAGAAATTCTAATCAATAGAATGGCTGAGCCAGCTCAACCAGTTTTACCTGCTAACTATAATACCAATAACATAAAGCATGATTATTACATGATTTATCAGATATTTTTGTGATGGGAATTAAAAACCCTGTGTATACATTGACTTATATCACCTCTACATATCATGTTATAACTGTTCAATTACAAGCACACCTATTGATGTTTTGATATCATAAACACACAAAAACATGCAACAAAAATTGGCTAACTTTCTAACATTCTTGAACAGGTCATATCAKTGACAATAAAATTCAAGGAATCATATGGCTTTTTGTGAGATGTTGATATTTGTCCACCAGTGATGTTCTTTCCCTCATCATTGGCTTCATTTGCTTTATAGTTATGTTAAGCAATCATACTACAAGAGCCAAAGGCAATRTACAATCTACATGTACCAGTACTTGATGTCCACACCACCCTTATCCAGCTACAGTAAACACAGCTGTAAATCCAATTCAACAAAAAGAAATCCTGACCCTTACAAAGAGTAAAGTGCATGAAAATGTCTTTGTATTCAAACTTACATTTTTCAATAATTCCTGGTCACTCARTGATAAACTCTAATCCACTCTTTACAATGACTTTAAAATTCCTGTTCCACCAGAATGTCAAGATGCAACAATAMAGTTGAACRCTTTATCCACAATGAAATAATTCAAAAATGAGCAACAATTTCCAGTAACATCTGTGAATAGTTCTGGTCSACACTTARTGAAGGCAGTGTCACTGACTTTTCACCATCCTGGACTGATACGCATGACAGTGACGTTGATGGTTGTTGATGTGGTTTGAGTTTTTTCTCAATTGACAGCTGTGGAAATAGTCTGTTTGCTAGGTTCTCAACCATTGAAGGATCTTCTTCTAGTTTAGGTAACATATTTGGTGTTAAATCTGACTGTACTCTTCTTGGTCTGAAAAAAAAGTTGAAGATTTTATATTGGATGGGGTTTTGGTTTCTCACTTTCAATGGTATTTACAGTTATAAACCCAAACACACAGCATTAATGATAATGATAAATAGGATGATAATGATGTATGCCAATCAGTCAGCCATGTATCAAGCCATGGAATYAATGGCTGTCGATCAGTAAGATTRCTTGTACTTGTAAAGCTGTAGCAATTCAGTCAGTCAGAAGTGTCTTAGGTCAGTYAGTCAATGAGTCAGTCAGACAACCTCTCAGCCAGTCARACAATTCACCAGTCAGTTAATTAAAGTAATTCACCAGAGACAAACCAATGTATTTGCTCTTGATTGCCCAGTTGATAAAATACCTTACCTTCCTCTCTTGATAACAAACTTCTTTGTTTTGTCTTCTTCAACGGTTTCAAATAATTTAAAAAGTAAGTCTTCACTTGTTGTGGCTGCATATGAGACCTTTCGTTCCTTTGGTGGACGAGGTTTAAGCTTTTCCTCTGGTGGAGTGACAGGTCTTAAGTTACTAACATCATCTCCTGTGTTGTTTGCATTATGAAATAATGGTGGTAACCCTGGCAATGTGCTGCTGGAGTTTAAGGAACTTGTCYGGATCTCATGTGGTTCATGAAAGAATGACTGAGGAAGYGCACGCATTCTCATAGGAAGTGGGTCTGAAAGATAAAATCAAAAAAATATTTGTAAATACAAGATTATGCTTAGTATTTGATACCTTGTAGGGATAATACAGGATAAGTAGGTGTAGACAATATACTTTGACATTAATAGTCTAGGATTGACAGCACAAAGAACTTTTTGACAGTAAAAATSGATTAATTTAGACTTTTAAACATTTGTACAAGTTAATGAATGGAAAAGGGTTACCCAAACAATTTTATAGTATTCCTGTCTATGCATCATAAGAGTATGCAAATTGTCTAAGTCAGTGAGATTTTCCAAGACAAACAGAATTATGTTTTCAAAAAGATAAAAAAAAACTATATCAAGTCTCAATTCAGTGACCACAAAATCAATATTTATTATATGATAATTGTTGTCTCGATTGCATTACGTATTAGCTACAAATTTAATAAATCAATTAATGATCAATTGTTAAATTAATAATGATCAATTGTTCAATTAATAATTATCTTCACTTAGTAGCTAATAATCCATGCACGAAAATGCAAGGCAAGTTTAGAGCAACAAATCAAAGCCATAAAGTGATGGCATTTRAAAAAAGTCAAAGGTCATATTTAGTCTTAACAGCACTTTAATAAACCTCTCTTCTATCAATGACAGGAAGATGTCACTCAAAATATGTATTTTATTTACAGTACCCACACTAGTCTCTTATCCTGATGACAGTTTTAATAAATGAGGCTTAGGATTAATAATATTATTTTTGCAGCAAGAGTAGTATAGGGCATACTAAGAGAAGGGAGGGGGGTAAAAACATTCRAAGAGAAAAAAATAATATTTCTTGTTCAAAATATATTTTAGCAGACTAGAAATGCTKTGCAGTCCCTTGTGTGATAACACCTGTTAAAAGATTTGCTGTTGATAATATATAGAATTCATGCCTTGCTTCTTCTGGATAAGATTATTATTATTATTATCATTTTTGTTTTTATTTTGTATAATAATTGCTGTTGGTTTTGCAGAATTTTGCCAACTAACACAACAAGGCTAATCTCACTAAGGTAATTCAGTGTTTAGTATATTGACTATTGCAGAATCAAAGTACAGCTAATTATGAAATATTGTAAAGTAATTTAGATTGTATGTACCATCAAATCATTAAAAAAATTAGTGCACAAAAAATGTTGTTGGCTTTTGAAATAATTACAACGGTAGTTAACTCAACATAATCAACTTTCAACTTGTTCATTGAATTTTGCTCTGTTTTTCAATAAATTTATGTGTCATTGTGACCCCAAATAGATCCTTTTGCATATAACAAGATCAAATTACGTCTACATTTTATGGAGACTTGTTGACTGGATTTGTGATGGAACAACCTTATACAAACCACAAGCCCCAATGCTTCTGAACAAGAGTTTATCAACAAATTTAAGCAACTGTGAAAACTATTAGTATAAACAATAGACCACTCCCTACCCATCCCCTGCCCCCACTGATTGCCCAACATTCCACCTCTTCCTATGCTGCACTTGGCTCAGATTTCACTTGATCACAGAAGTACAATGWTTAAACTGAGCTGCTAARAGTGTCAAAATGAACATCAAAACCATACAACACAACACCAGAAGGAAAGAAAATGTTTTTCATTCTYTGATAAACTCTAAGATGATTGATACATTTCTGAATAACAGCAATCATGCTGTATAATGTTACTTTACATGTATATGTGTTACTAAAGAAAGGAAGAAGAGCTTTTAATTTTACTAATGAATATAATAACATAAATACAAAATGACACAAACCCACAAACAGCAAGGCTAGGAAAGAGGATAGATGGGAATAAAGTGAAAGATGTAACACAAATATTGAAAGCCAATAAAAGAAAAAAATGAAAGAAGAAAAAAAAGGAACAAAAGGAATACATTAGAAAAGTAGCTGCAGTCAATTAAACTTTGAATATTGAAAGAGAAAGGGTTAATGATTTTTACTTTCAGTTTTATCTTAATTTATGCACAACATGATAAAAACAACACCAAACAATTTAATGCGTATAAATAATCCGTGTCTTCGAAATTCAATGTTCTCCTTATATGACCATGAAAGGCTACAAGAACAAGGAAATAGGCTTGGATATCCGAGTACGGATTTTGATGGGCGCATTTTATATAAATAGATTTTCCATGTTCATTGATTGTAAACGATATTTACTACAGCAGCGTGATCTTGACGTATTAATAGTCAAGACTCTATGAAATAGAGAGGTTCTTAACAATGATTAATATTACAATATTGGCAAGCTGACAAATCCAGGTTTACACATCGTAACTGCTGTTCCGTGACTTTAGAAATGGCCAACGTTAATAATTACGTACAATTTTAGTACATTTTGGTACTTTCTAATCACTACATTTAATGAAAGAGAACTTCCCTGTATGTGGAGTTTATTCAACGAATTAGTGGTCAAGTAAAAATACGATTTCAGTGAGCTCTTTAATTTGTTTTTGAGCATTATATTGCAACAATTTGAGGATATTGTCTAGACAGTAAAACTGCATCTCAAATCACTTTTTCCCCTGAATTGCTTCTTCATTATAACATAGAGGAAAATAAGTGGTTCTTGAGAATGTAGACTGGCRGTTTAAATTTAAAGGCTTTGCTTAGCGTGATCTTTACGAATGAATGGCTACCATCACTTCGAGACATRTTGTTTGCATATGACAATTTATCAAAGTCCCGCTCTAGCGATAATCTTACTTTTCTTCGCATAGAAAGGACCAAACAGCACATTTTTGTGTTGTCTTTAAGGATAAAGTCAACTTTGATTAAAYTGATGTTATTTTTGATGTGTCTTGAGATGTGTAAATACAGAATTTGGCCCTTCGCAACACAAGTTTGTTCAAAGCACAATATACAAACCGATTGMTATTGTTCGGCAATCGGCGGGGTTTCACCTGAGAGCAATCACATACACATATACACAAAAAAACTGAACAAAATGGATTTATGAAAATCCGTATCCGCTTTAGGACATTCAAAACATCGGCATATTTATGCAATAAGTCTTAAAAGACGGCAGTCAAGGAGCGTGCTGTCTTCTTTAAGTTCACGTGTCCTCAATCGCTCGCAACATTTAAATTGATAAATTCCGCACCTTCTCTAGCCTAAATACTACATTAATTTGCTTAAACTCATTCGATAGACCATTYTCTCTACTTTTTAAATATTTTATGACAAGGAGCAATTTAGATCATTTTATCCTATATCTTACCGCGTTTGGGTTTTGCACGGTGCTCATTGTGATGAAGGTGAAAGTCAGGCGACGTCTCCCTTCGTTTCAATTTACTAAGTCCTCCATTTTGTGAGAGCAAGAGCCGTTGTTTTCGGCCTTTCTTTGATAGCTCTCTAGGTGCATTTTCTTTAATAACTGGCTTCCAACGGCTGAGAGACAACCCTTTACCTCGAACTTCAAGTGATGGCGGTGATTGCGGTGAGGCGGGCGAAGATGGCGAACACGGGCTCTTTGGGTCTCTCCATTCTAAATGGTTACTATTTTGGAACTGGTTTTGTCGGCTCTTCTCCATTTTGATCCATAAAAGCGAACAATTTACCAGAAAGAAGTTTTSTTATCCCAACTTTACAACAAAATGACCTTCGTATAACTTGGTTCAATTCAATAATATACTCGATTTGAGGTCAGCCACTAGGATATCTGATGATAGTCTATCAAACCAGTCCTTGCAGATGGCAAACTCTTTTCGAGAAGAACTTAAAATTTTGAYCTGAATCCTTGCACTCGTGCAGCTGAAGACAAGTATAATATTTCACAGTRCTTAATTTGAAAATCTAGTCCAGYCTGGACCTATTATTTTGGTGAAAACGTTCAAAACAATSTCTTCAGAGAGCGATATCTTCTTCGTATCCATGCATTTTCGCGGGTAACTAATATAAACTATACAACCAATCTCGATTGGTGATTGGATGATCGTTACATCATAATATCACCTTATGATTGGCTAATTATTGTTCCTTTGTCTGTCTGTTGTCAAGTAAATGTTTATAAAGTTTCCAGGTCATAACTCAAATACCATTATTGTTACTCATATCTATAAATAGCTAAATCGCAGATGACTAAGACAACACAGGAAACCCAGTCTKAACTGATTCCACTAAAGTGAAACAGAATCACCAAAATTTCGGGAATTTCTGGCCATAATCTATCCAATTTATAAAATATTTTTATGCTTTATCTACATAATAGCGCATTTTAATGAATTTCAAATCTTTGAATAATTTATGTTTCTATTTTCGCAATCTWCTAAAGATTGTCATCGATCTATTTATACCTGCATCAATTATAAGTTTACACAATTTTAATTTTGTCTCGAAACTTCGTGAATATATATTTTTATTCTGATTATTTTCTTGATAATTTCCTAGTTTGAGACATGAATTTTTACTAAGGTAGCTAGTACGAGCTGATTTCCAACAAATGGCGATATTTKCTAACGTTCTGAAACTGATAATGAAATATTTATGAGTTGATTACTCATAGTGAGAAGGCTTATTAATCATGCATAAATTTTCGAAACTAGTTCTAGAATCAAAAACTCATAGCCATTTTTAAAAGACTAGATTCTTTGACAAAAATTGGCGAAGGGAAATATTAGAGCAGGCCGTCATAACTCTATTTCCTTCTCTAATCTTTTCAATTTTTCCCTTTCCTTTTTTTCTTCTCTTTTCTTTTTTTCTTTCTCTTGTTTTCTTTTCTGCCTTTCTTTTATTTYATTTTCCTTTTTTCTTTTATTTTCCGTRCACCGTTTTATATTCGTGCACCGCTCTGCACTAGACAGTGATAAAAGTTGTCTATTGTACTTCTGCTCTGCACCCGATGTGGTCATATAACTTCTTCCGTTCCTGCAGTTATACGGAAATCCAGTCTGCTTTCAAGCTTATGATTTTTTTTTAATCATTAGGTATGTTTAATCTGATTCTTTAAAGGAGCATTACATGGAYCAAAAGGCATAAACGGGATGAATGCAAGAACTAAAACATTAAACCCATAAAAAAATAGTTTTAGTACTGATTATAGGGCTAAATTTTTCTGAATTATTGTTAGAAATTAAAATAACTGTTTTTCTGTTATCCTATCGTACTATATTACGCTGTCTAACAATACTTTGTTCAGTACGTTTTTATGCATTTTTTGATTGCGTTAACCGATCAGTTGGGCACCCTTTGCAAATTAGCTTGAACGTAGACTGGGGTCAAGTCACGTGATCTCTATTTGGCGCAAAGAAGCAAGACTCCGAGTAAATGGAGTAAATGAGCGAGAACCGAAGAAAATTCGTTTTCAGCGAGAAATTAGTTCAATTTTTAGCCTGAACATTGATAGAGTCGTTATCCACATTACGAAGAAACTACCAAGCAATATTTAAGTGTGATATTTATGGCCTCTAGGATGTATTTGGACAGTTATCTGGACAGTAAGTGAAGTTTGTTTTCATACCAAAGTCCCGCCATTTTTGTTGTCCTATTACAAAATCAAAGTAGCGACGAAAAGCAAGCCCCAAATCCGCTRTAACGATATTTGAAATGAAGCTATATGAGTATTTTAGTAGTATTATTGATATTAAGTGCAATATAGTCGAGTTTTTCAGTTTAGCTGCGATGTCTGACATGTATTTGTATKAGGCAAGTTACGTCATGTAGCGGTTCGTATGGATATTTCTTGTAAAAAGTCACGGAAACCATGTCACGGTATCGTAATCAACCGACATAAAYCTTCCCATAATCTAGTCAATCGAAATCTAATGTCATTGCAATTGGGCTCTATTTTATCAGTAAAAACATAACATATAACCCTATTAGGTGCYATTAGAGTACAAACATTTATAAATGTGTGCAACACTTTCCACTATTTACTACAAAATAGTGTGAATTATTACAATAGAAAACAATAGAATTAGCAGTATTTAGTGGTATTTATGTTGCACAGTTTTAGTGTTTGTACTCTACTGAAACGGAAATTATGTACTTTATATGGCATTTAAGCTAAATTAATTATACTGTTTGCTGTATGTAAGCTTAACTTTAAATTTCTCCAACTGTGTGATTTTCCCCTTAAATGAAATAGATCCTAGAGACTTCAGAAATATTTTTTTGCACCTTTTTCCGATTTTGAATAAATTCCTTTTTTTAGCACAGAAAGTTATCAAAACACTAGTAGCCACTCTCCAAATTGCAGCGACGTGAAATGCATAGTCCTGGAGCGATAATCCACTACGCCATTGGTGTTGGATGTTAATTTCAGAATCATTGCTTCCAAATCAACTTTCAGAACTGGTATTGGCCATTCTTAACAGTTTTTATTTTGAAAAACAGCTTTTAAATAGCAAAATAGTTGACCAATATAAATGTTAGGCATGTTGGAATTATGTGCGGATGCAGACGATGCATAATTTGCGGATGCATAATTTTAATTTTTTTTCGTACAAAATTCCGACATGCCTGAAATGTCACTGATACTGTGTTTTGTCTCTCACCCCGATGACCTATTCACACCATTCTGCCTTGAGATATGGTCCTGTCTATTCGTACCATTCTCCCTTGACACACGGTCCTGTCTATTCGCACCATTCTCCCTTGACNACTTCAATTTTTGATTGGGGAAAAGTCACACATTAGGAGCACTTTAATATGGTAGTACAATAATAGCAAAAAAATAAAATATTTGGTCAATCATTGGTGATATGCTTCCTCTTGGTTCAACATTAAAATAACTGTAATACAAAATAGAGGATTTATCAATTCCAAGTTGTAGGCAAATATTTGCTGACGTCAATACATTAATACTTACCTGCTTATAAGAACCTGCAATTTAAGAACCTGTTAGCCTAAAAATATCAATTTAGATTCATTTACATAATAACCTATTTGCCTAAAATCTGAAACAGGTTCTTATAGAAAGGTTCTTACAGAAATTGAAATAGTAAAAGTAGTAAACTTGAACATGTAACACTTCTAAACTTGGTAGTAAATAGTCACTGTCTTCTAAAGGCCAGTCCTGTTTTGGCATTAAATTGATGTACATGCCACCTTTCTACTATTCAAAGGTGAATAACATAATTATATCACGTATTGTATCAGGTTATTTCGCACAAGAGACCGTTCGCACAAGTCGTTTCGCCCGAAGTTTCGGACCGTTCGCACAATTCTCATATCGATGGATAGTCATTTCGCACAGAAAATAAAACGCCTCAAAGAAAGATACGAAAGATATATCAATCTACTCTAATAATATATATCACTTTCGATGAAATCTTATGGCTTTTAAATCAATATTTATGGAAAAAATTTCAACGAACTCGAACGCGACACTGTTATTTCAAACTAGTAATTAGGAATTTATTTAATATAGTACAGTAAGAATCTCAATAAAATTATTTTGCTCACTTATAATTTTCTGTGCGAAGTGTCTTCTTAAAATTGTGCGAACGGTCCGAAATATGGGCGAAACAACTTGTGCGAACGGTCTTTTGTGCGAAATGACCTGTATTCTTCATTTAATAAAGACCTATTTAAGAACCTTTGTAGCCTAAAATTTCACTGAGCATCATTTACATAAGAACCAATTTAGGCTAAATTTGAAAAAATTGGTTATTATAAGCGGGTAAGTACTTTAAAGTGCTACTTGCATGAAAATGCCCTTATCTCAAAACTTCAAGCAATACAAATCTATGACTCATTTATATCTATTAAAAACAATTGCGGGAAAATATTTGTTTTGGAATTATCCCACATCAGAGAAATTTTGATTCAAAAGATGGAAGAACAAAAGGATGGAGTAAATGATGTCATCTACTCCAACATTTTTTGCCCATATTAAGGATTTGTATCAATATCTTCTTGAAATCTGTTGCTTCATGATTATTAGACCCGTATGGATAGGTCTATTTGATTTTCAAGTATTTTCTATAATCTTTTGCAATTTTCGTCCCAGTAGGCCTTTAAGCTTAGAGAATGTACAGTTGACTAATTAGTGCATTGACACAAAACACTTTGAAAGCCAACATCTCTCATCACCAAGAGAAAATGGCTCCAAATCAGCACCAAATATTGAAAAAAAAACTTGATACAGATAATAAGCTTTCTTTTAAAAAAATTAGATTCTCGTATGCAGTAGTTTTTATGCCATACTGTACAGTAATTTTAAAAACTTTGAATTTTCTTTATTGTTATCCTAAATTTTTCATGTTATTTAAAATGGACTAAAAACTAAAATACCRGATATTTTTAGATTGAATCATAGCAATATGTGAATATACTGTAGCAAATTAATATAAAATGTCTTGGAATKACTTCTAAAGTCTGTTGTAACCAGTAATTGACATTTCCATTCAGCTGCTTAAAGAAAGATGAATCACTCTACCGAGTCAAGGATTGGGGAAATCTTTTCTTTCTCAGGTATAAAATAAGTATATTTAGTATACAATACTGTAATATTCAAACGTTTAAAACATAAACACGCCATATCACTGTATCAGCTGTAAATAAATGTTTGTTCAAGACACTGATTTTCTTTTGGAAATTATCAATTTAAACTAAACATTGTCCTATACACCCTTTTAAGTCCYGAGGTATTGAGTTCTCCRCACTTGAYGCCAAATTTATTCTTTTGAAATTTTTACAAYACAAAAGGAAGTCAAAAGAAAAAATTGACGTCAAGTGTGGAGAACACAATACATGTACCTTGGGACTTTAAAAGGTGTATATATATGTGTAATTACTAACATTGTCTTTTGAACCATGAAATTAATGTAAACTAACAAAATTGATTAACAATATACATGCATGTTGGATTTGTCATAAAAGAGTTCATAATTGAGGGAGCTTTAAAAGTGTTAAAAGTACAATGAGTTTTGTGATGCATGCCTCGTGTTAAGGTTGTTTRTAACATGCTTTTGCATTCAATGTWTATAGACAGAAAKTTTTCACCAATTKCTTCAGTTTGTGAAACRCAGTATSGGCCATTGATAATTTCACAGTTTATATAAGAATGGACTTTGTTTTTAATACAATCATCAGTACTAAATATCACTTCAAGGGACAGTGGAAGACAGTTAATCCGGACACTGAAGGGACAGTGGAAAGAGTGTGCACAAAGTATGAGGGCTTCATTTACTGGGAGGGGTTATATTAAGTGGGTGGCTACTACCGCTCTAAGGCAAGGTCCCACTGCAGTACAGAGCCTCAGAGATAAACCTTGCTCATGCTATTTTTTCGGAAAATCAGACACTTTTAAAAATATATTAAAAATGGAAAGGGGTTCACATTTTTAAGCCAGCACTCATTCATAATTCTAAAATGCCTGATAAGTGTTATCAATGAATGGACATTTTAAATTGTATTTAAGATTACTATTGATGTGTTGGTTGCTGACCACGAGAGGCTGCTCTCCTCTCCATGGGGTCACAATCTGTAAGGCCATGACAACTTGATCCACCTAAATCTAAAAAAGATAAAAGTTTGAAATACCTACATTAATTGCCGTCCCTTCATCATTCTGGCGTTTCAATGCAAGATTACTTGCAGTAACAATTTAATATTCAATACTGATGATGTCTTTTCAGGTATTGAGAATCTCCCCTTTGAGCTTCAAAGAAATTTTACCTTAATGAAAGATTTAGATATAAGAACACAAGGTAGGAAATAGTGCATGACAGAACAAAAAAAATATTTTAAAAGGAAATTGTCCTTTAACCAAGTTCTYCTTGTAGCTAATACTACACAGGTAACCTTTCCTTTGGGATCCTTGTGTTATGACAAGGAAATGATTATATTTATATTTGCCTTTGCATTGTTTCAAGTCCTGCAATCTTTACACAGGAAGCCCAAAGAGAAAAATGGAGGGAAGTTCCCTGTAGAGGAAGCTACTCTCCTTAAACTAATGTACTTTGTTCATTTGTAAGTTTATTTTGCTTGATTTACATGTAACATAGAAATCTTCTATTTTGCAATACTAGATTTGATGAAAGAGATTGACAGTTTATCAGAAGATTATGTGTCCAGTGTTCGCAATATGGACTCAGGAGAAAGAACAGATCATTTAAAGAAAATAGAAGTAGCCTTCTCTAAAAGCAAAGAGTATGTGGATGATAAAGTACAGCTGGCAATGCAGACATATGAAATGGTAATTGGTAGTTAAAGTATTAGAATTTCATACTGTTTAGTCTGACAGAACTGCAGGCATAATCTTGTACTCTGTAGACTWGTTTAATATCACTGGATAATAACAGGGTTCGCGCTACTCCTTGAAATCCTTGAATAGTCCTGGAATTGAAATCTCGTGTTCAAGGGCGCTTGAATAGCCGACTTGCGAATTACGCATCAATAGTCACATACAAAGGAATCAAGACGAGGCGCCGTGGTAAAGACAATAGATTTTTCACAAAAAAGCACGGCGCCTCGTCTTGATTCCTTTGTATGTGACTATTGATGCGTAATTCGCAAGTCGGCTATTAAGGAATAAAAGACGAAATTCCGTGGTGTTTGATACTCTGATCAAAACACGCGGGATGTAGGGAGAGCATGAGAGAAGCGTAGGAAACCACGACGCATTGAAAATGTTGCTATTTTTGAAAATCACCACTGGAAGCATTCGCAAGCATCAAAAAATATCCTCARAAATAGTCCTAGAAAATCGTATTTTTGTGCTTAAAAAGTACTTGAAAAGCCCTGGAATTTTGTAGTGAAACAAACTCTGTAATAATTACAAGTAAGATACTTACAGTGCAACAGGCTGCTTTATGGGATTAGAAAATAAAAAGATTAGAAGAGGGTKCTTTCTGGAAGCAAGTGTCTGTATTTATTTAGCCTGTTAAGACAAGCTGTGGAAAACTAACATGTCAATCCTGGACAAGTAGTCTAGAGTTGATAAGAACCCTCAAAAATATGGTGAAAACACTGACATTCCTGGAAAACTACAGTACTGCTGCTTGAATGTAATGCTTTTTTTCYMTTTTCTAATTTTTGGTTGAAATAAGAATGTTTTAAAAAACTGTTGCCAGAAACATTTAAAAACCTCAGTCAAGATCTAACAAATGCAACACAGTTCTTGAAATACAAATTATATATGCTTAAAGACATATTTGAAAAGTATGGAATTCTGTCAGTGATAAATGTGTAGCACAAACCATGATTGAAATGTTACTGATTTCCATTTTGTTGGTCTCATATTATTGATAGTATCGATTAGAATATGTCTCCATTTTAATTATCTTATAGGTTGATAAACACATTAGAAAATTAGATTCTGATTTAGCAAGATTTGAATGTGACTTAAAGGAGCAAAAAGCCAAAGAATCTGGTATCTCTGAATATGAAGGTACACTRAAAACTGCTTGTTTGTGCTGTGCATTTACCAAATTTGTCTAATGCATGTATATTTTATTTTTCTTTAAAATATGTTTTCACAACAGAGGAAGTTACTCCACCCAAAAGTAAGGCAATAACAAATGCATGAATGTATATTGTATTTGAACATTTAACAATTAGACCTCTCGGCCTTGTGGACTACGAGCTAATAGCCCATGAGGCCAAGTCCGCGAGGCCGAATGGGCTATTAGCTCGTAGTCCACGAGGACGAGAGGTCTAATTGTTTTACTATAAATATACTAATCGGTCAAATAATGAAAAAAAATTGAAATATCCTTAAAATAATTTATAATTTATTTATTTTGATTTTCCCGCGAGTGGTCTATCACAAATTAGACCATTAGTAGAGTAGCCAATCACAGCGCAGTATGAGTGATAGACCATTAGTATGTTTATACTAATTACATGTAGACTATGAGGTTGAGTGGAATATTAGTTGATACATAGATAAGTCTTACTCTGCATTATTATTATTCATTAATTTGATTAATTTTTTCTTCAAGGAGGAAGAGGGAGAACAAGCAAAAAGAAAGACAGTGAACCAAARAAGAAAAAAAAGTATGACATAATACTGGGAATATGCTGTATAAATGTTGCACAAAATTTCCCACTTCTAAACTTTCWGTTGATTGATTATGTGCTGCTAATGTATCACTAATACATCTGTTTCTAGGAGAGATTCAAGTCCTGTAAAAACACTTGGAGTTACTGCAACATTATTTTCCCCTGAAGTTGTCCAAGTTCTTGATATGCCTGTCGACCCTAATGAACCTACATACTGTATCTGCCATCAGGTGAATGTCACACAAAGACCAGCTTGCTAATAAGACTAAAATGCTAAGGGGTCAAAYCTTTTTTTCTGTAGGTATCATATGGAGAAATGATTGGCTGTGACAATATAGAAGTAAGTTTGTTTTTATGGTCATTTGAAGAAACTCTTCGCAAAACTATAAGTTTATCATTTTATAAAGTGTAGCTGATAAAGCCTTAATCCTTGCTTGATACGGATGTGGAAAGAGCACAACTCCCCTCCCAATAAAAAATAAATAAACGGTCCCTAAAATGATAACCCACGATTCACCCGAAATAAAGAGGTACCAGCAGTTGAAAATGTTGCAAATGACTATAAACTTATGGTGCTTTCGATTATGGAAAACTGCGCTGTGTTTCATAATAATACAACGAACAGATGCAATCTATTGCTTTACAGGAAGCCCGTTATTTTTTAGAAAGGTTGGAGATGTTTACGGATGAGACTAGATAATATTTACTCTCTTTTTTTTCTTTTAAGTGTCCAATAGAGTGGTTTCACTTCCCGTGTGTTGGACTTACAGCAAAACCGAAGGGAAAGTGGTATGTTTTCACCTTTGTAGCTAATTATTACATGTAGCAAGTATTACAACGTTTTTTGTTTTGTTTTTTTTAAATGGGTGTATTTTTTGTCCTGTAGGTATTGTCCAAAGTGCGCTCAAGAGAGAAAAAAGAAATAATGACTATTTTATGTATATACAATTCGAGACCATCACGACCACTCATGGAGGATATCCAAGAATTGTTTCATATTTCATCAAGGGAAGGGACACTCGCATACCGTATAACTTRCATTTCGCTAACAAGGACAATGGCGGACAGTGTTTCTTATCGGGTTTAGACCGTATACGCGACTGGATATTATTATACATGCATCAGGAGTTTCGGATAACCATGCGTTCGCCATCTTGAAAATTGTATAACTCCTAAAGAAATTAACAGGTTCTTAGCTAATGTCAAGTTACATTTCTGGACCTTTATGTTTGATTGATTGACTTAGCAACTACGAAATGTTTTCCAAGGCACAACATAGTGATTCGGGTCTAAATTTTGTGGTTACTCCAGTCTGAAGGACAGAGTAAACCGCTATGTCAGCATGTCGTGTAAGGAAGGTAGCATGTCCGTAGCAATGACGTCATACTCAAATAATTCTCGTTTGTTCATGAGGGTTGAATTCATTTCCGTTTGGCGAAGCACATGGCTGCCCTGAAAACATAAAAACTTGACTCTATAATGTCAAAATTGTTGCCAAATATAGAATTTAATTTGTAAACTCATACCCGTCTTTTACTCGAAATTTGGCCAACCCTGAAAATTTTACAGCCATTTTCAAATGCTATTGATTTTTGCTTATTCTTAGAAATTCATTTGCAATATGGTAAAAAAAAACAGATACTTGTAGATATTTAGATCAACCTCCAAGTATGTAAAGACTAAATCACTTCCAATTAGCAAAAACCAACAGCATTGAGGGTACAGACGAGCTTCAAGGATTGTAAGGAATGGAAGCCGGCATATAACAACTGAGATCTGAATCTCTCAATTTGTTTGTTTTGTTTTGTTTTGTTGTGTTTTTTTTTTCTAAATACAGGGAAAATAAAATGTGGTCCTCACCCATAAATCCGCACCTGACATCTTGCGAATCAGAGAATAGAATTAAAAGTGATAAATGCAATTTTTGTTGGCTGTGCTTTTTTTTCTGGCAGTTCATTCTATTTGGAGTAACCAAAAGCGCTCTTTGATTGCCTTTAATCCAAGGTGGCGGACACATTGTTCTTCGAAAAACCTGATGCATGTCATTTTTTTTTCTTTTTTTTTTTCGTTCATAACTATTGTATAATGATCATAAAACCAAAGTTCTGTTTTTATTGTGTAAAAAATAGGTTTTTATAACATATCACTGGCATATTTTTTTCATGGCATATTCACTCGCTAAAATAAACGGGATACACAAAGCCACTCGTTAGCTTGGTCCCAGAACCGTCTGAAAACATCATACCCAGAGCCCGCACTTTTGACATCCAGTGGAAGGCATACTGACATTTAGCCGAAAATACTCTGGCCTCGACATTGAAAACATCAAACCATGTATTTTCTGAATGTTAGTTGGAAAGAGTATGAAATGATTTCCGATTAATAAAGCATTATTATTATTATTATTATTATTATTATTATTATTATTATTATTATTATTATTATTATTATTGATTCATAGAATCCAAATCCCCAATCTCGTACCCAGGAGCACATACTTTAGAGAGTCAGTCGGGCGTTAGCAATCGAAGAGTTATTGTAGTGGGATGATTTGTCACTCGCTCACTCATGATCACTTTCCTGTAAACTGCGCTTGTTGCTATAGTAATTATGAGGTCTTATTTTTTAACTTAAACTTATAATTTCGTCATCACGATCTTCCTGTGCATACCTCTATATTTAGCTAAGCAAATTAATATTTCCCGGAAAGTTTGACCAAACTTTCGAATTCYCATATATCGTCCATTCGGCCACGGTGCCCCTTTCATGACGTTTTCCTTGTTTTAGTACTTTTATAGGGAAGCACAGACAGGGTCAAGTCTGGTTGGCGACGCAAGTTTTTAAAACGTTTTTGAGATTTTCTTTTCTTTTCTCCTTCTTTTAGTAATGACAAACATGCCAGTAATGCAGTACCAATTGAAACCTGCTTTTTGATTGAGTGCTCCTTAAGTACAGCACCACTATTGTTAGGTTAGGTTTTGTTATATTGTTGGAAGACTTATCTATTGTTTGTCCATTGTTTTCTCAACCTATCATGAGACCCGAGCGGTGCTACCTGGCTCAAACATGCTTCTGAATAAAGTTCGCTCGTAATGTAGCTTTCTTTGAAATTATATTCCATGAACAAAGAAAATGACAATTCTTTTTCCTTGCAAAAAAAAAAAAAAATCAGTCTTCTTTGCAACAGCATTTCTTTGCTTTTCCATTGTAAAAACAGTTCAAAAAAAAAAGAATAAACTCACATTAATAAAATATGGAAAAAGAGATTTCAACGTATTTGATSSTTTTTTTCTTTTGAAAGCGGCGTCAGTTTAATACGCGCAGCGTGCAGATTTGTGGCAAGTGCCCAGGGAGGTCGATTATC